CACACACACACATACATACCTGGTAACATGGTAACATAGTGGTTAGGAGTTGGGCTGCTAATCTCAAGGTCAGCAATTCCAAACGACCAGCCATTCCTTGGTAGAAAGATGAGACCTTCTGCTCTTGTAAATATTTACAGCCTCAGAAACCCTCGCTATGAGTCAGAACTGACTCCATGGCACATAACCACATAACCATGTACTCCTGGTGTGCTATAGGATTTGCACTGGACTGTGAACCACAGATCGACAGTTCAAACCCACCAGCTGCTCCTTGGAAACTCTATACAGGGTCACAATGAGTCTGAACTGACTCAATAGCACTTCACAATATATGTATATACTCACATGTAGGTTTTTATCAAGGAAATAGCTCAAAGTTGTAGAGGTGCACACATTCTAAGTACATGGGTCAGATGTTAGACTGAAGGCTTCTGACTAATGTAACTGCAGTTGTTGATGAACCCGAGATTGGCAGGTGAACAGCAGATTTCTGTCTGCAGAGGTGAATGCATCCAAGGTTGGCAGGTATGATGGCAGGCTACTGATAAAGCAATACAATAAGCCACTGGCTCGAGTCCAAAGAATTAGAGGGCAGTTGACAAACCAGGTGCAAGATCCAGAGCCAGCAAAATGAGCAGGCCACATGCTGGAGGAAACATCAGTGATTGCTGCTTATAGGAGATCTCATAGTGAGGTATGTCTTACTGCCAAACCATTGAGAATCTGGCCAGGTCAAGTTGACACAAAACCTTAAACACACACACATACTTATCAAGCTGGTTCTGATTCCTAGCCACCCTGTATAGGGTTTCCAAGGCTGTAAATCTTTACGGATGTAGAAAGCCTCATCTTTCTCCCAAGGAGCGGCTGGTTGCTTCAAACTGCTGAGCTTGTGGTTAGTAGTCCAGCCCAGTCAAAGAGAAAGAATATGTATATATATATATGGTGTTGTTAGGTGCCATCGAGTCGGTACCGACCCAGAGCGACCTTATGCACAACAAAATGAAACACTGCCCAATCCTGGACCAACCTCACTACTGTTGCCACGCTTGAGTCCATCGATGCTGCCATTTGGCCAATCCATCTCGTTGGGGGTCTTCCTCTTTTTCTCTGACCCTCCACCTT